AGTCTGGTATAATTGATAATAAATCTAAACCTCATGACACGTCGTCAGGTTTGTTTTACCCTTCAAAAGTGATAGACTGCTGCGCTGTGTGTGTGTGTGTGTGTGTGTGTGTGTGTGTGTGTGTGTGTGTGTGTGTGTGTGTGTGTGTGTGTGTGTGTGTGTGTGATTTAATCTAAAGATTGATGGAAAGGCTTAACTAAAATGCAAACAATTCATCTAGGAAGTGAAACGTCTTGCGTTCACCAACATGTTAAACAAAATGCAACTCATCCATTTCAAATAACAAATTACACCCCAAAGAAAAATAATGAACGGAAGGCTGAACATGAGGGATGAAACCCCCTGAACTACCCCCCCCCCCCACCCCTTTGGAGCTAATGCACCAGCACTGACAATGATTTGGCTTATTTGAAGCTGGTGTACCTGCAGGATTATTACAGATTTGAATATGTATCCTCTTGGTTGGTTTCACTTATTGTAAGTGGCTTTGAATAGAAGCATCATGTAAATGTTATGTTTAGAGTGCTCTAAAGAGATTACATTTACAGGTACAACAGGTACTATATAACCTGACTGACACTTGTTAAAGCCCTCCTCCAAACAGCCATTGTGCAGTCATAAGCTTTCATCCAGAATTTCTCATATATTTGGACAGAATTCAGCAAAAGGAAACAGGAAGCATTTCAGACGCATTATGTGGTTTTCACTGGGTCTGTTACCATTTGTTTCATTTGACATTTATCAATGCGGCAACTTTTCCATCCTAGCCTAGTGTGACACTTTTATAAACACATATTTAGTTTTTTATGATAATGTGCATGAAAACAGCAAGTTGCGGACGTATCCCTTTTTCTAATTCAATGTATCTGAAGTTAATTGGAGGTTATTCAGATCACCTGTTGTGCGAGACGTGGGGAATGGCTTCTAATTAGCAATTTGAAACAGCTGGGTGCATTTCCCCTCTCAGCCAATCAGAGAGTGACGAGGCCCTTTCACAGCTTAGCAGAGGAGGAGAGGTGCACACCCAGGAGGTTCTGATGCTTCCTTGGTTTAATGCACACTTCATTTCAGCAAATATTGTCAGCCAGGAACTCTGGTAATTTTTAGACTTCTTAGCTTCTTCACTTTTTTCTCAATGAGGGTGATTTTAAGCTTTCAGTAACCTTGCTAAAATTAAATTATCTGCATCAAGACAGACTTTAGTCAAATGTGTGCACGACTGTATGCTCAAACGGCAGCCTAATGCCTGCAGGATTTATTTTTTGGTTTATTAATTATCAAAACACAAATGAATAACTATGAAGGAGAGGCATTTGTTTTTTAAGTAAAGAGGAATTTTACTATATTTTTTTATTTGTATTATCAAGAGAACTTGTTTTCATTGTAAAGGCCAATCTGTGAATAATCTCAGCGAAGTTGAAGTTTCTTTAAATAATATAGATTTTAACTGAATGTTGTTGGGAACTGGTGAACTGGTTTATTCCCAATAAGTTATCACTGACAAGCCTTTGTAGCCAACTGATAAGGTGTTTTTTTGTTTGTTTGTACTCTCTGGTTGACAAAATATCTAATGACACCACTTTTTTGGAACATACTGTATCCATGGCATTTTTTAACACAACGACCAACAATCTGGACAGACGTGTGCTAAAAGAGATATACAGTTTATGCACTAAGATATTATTGGCCAATATGTCAGCCTGGTAAGGACCTTATTGGATTAATGACAATTATTCACAGTCCATCAATGGAGGCAACACAGCTGGGCACACAAAAGGCCATTTCTCAGTCAATTCAACAAACATTGTGAAAACAGAACATTGTTCAGAGCTCTGCAATGGGATGTTGACGTTTATAACCTAAGCTAACCCTTTTATGATTTTTACCTTTTATTTTAGGCGCCTTTCATGACACCCAAGGACACCGTACAATTGGTTTAAAAAAAAGAAAATGCCAATAGGCAACAGAACATGATAAAAACACAAACAGGAAATCATGGAGGAGACAATCACAAATGAAACATATAATGGGGAGCACTACAGTGAGTAGGCATATTTGAACAGGTGGGTTTTTAATTGGGATTTGAATGTGGTGATTGTGTCTGACTGTGGGATGTGCGGGGGGAGGGATTTCCAGAGTCTGGGAGCAGTGCAGCTAAAAGCCCGAGCACCCATGGTGACGAGGCGTGGGGTGGGGACGGTTAGCAGACCAGCAGAGGAGTAGCGGAGGGAGCGAGAGGGGGTGTACTCCTGAAGAATGATGATCTTATATCTGACCCTCCTCTCTGTGTGCAGGTGAGTCGTCTGGACTCTAACTCCCTGGAAGTCCTCCGCAGCTGGGACACGGGGTTTCCTAAGCGCAGCGCAGGGGAGTCCTTCATGATCTGCGGCACGCTGTACGTCACCAACTCCCACCTGGCCGGGGCCAAGGTTCACTTCGCCTACCACACCAACACCTCCTCGTACGAGTACACCGACATCCCGTTCCACAACCAGTACTCTCACATCAGCATGATGGACTACAACCCCCGAGAGAGAGCGCTGTACACCTGGAACAACGGACACCAGGTGCTGTACAACGTCACGCTGTTTCACGTCATCAGGAGCGACGGATAGATCGACATGGTGGAGAAAAAAGAGGGTACTCACGACACACACATACACACACATGCACACACTCATGTCAACAGGAAATAGAGTACCGTCTGAGTTTGAAGGCCTTCTGGACCGAGAGAGCTAACTGAGCTAATAACAAGACACTAAACACAGTTTTCAGACACGTGCCCAAAGGTCACGGACAGGACTATTCATCACGGTGAGAGAAGAAAATGAACTGCTTCTGATACAGGGGACGCTGAAGAAAAGAAGACAGTTTAAGCTCATCCATATTCTGTTGCGTTTTATTCCATTTGTGTCTCAAGAAGTGACGTTGAGGTCAAATCGTCGAGAGGAAAAAAATAAAAAAGGACTTTAAGCTCTGGCGGCGGACCGGAGGGAGATATTCTGGGTCTGTGATGTGGTCGTGGACGTGTTCAGTCAGCATGGTTGTTCCTTCAATAAACATTACTGTCAAACTTTACAAGCTGTGGTCTCCTCTGTTTTAAAGCAGGTACAGTTAAAGGGTGACGCAAACCATTCGTTTTGTCCATGTTTTTAAACACAAAATGTAAAAGAAAACACAACACAACAAAACCATGACTCATCAAATATTAAAATCATTGCGAATGACCCTCTATAATTGTATGTTGTTGAGTGAATTCTCTTATTTTGCTGTGTTTGCAAAGTTTCTGTGCAACCTTTACAATAACGCACTGACTAGGTGATCACGAGGGAGGATCAAAAATCAAAAGCGTCTGTCATGGAAACGTCTGGAGCGCGGAGTCGAAACACAATGAGACACGGGGGAGCTGGAACTTGATGGCAAACACTGAAGATTGATTTGAATTTACAGCCGGAGAATTGAGAAAGACATTTGCTGCAGCCACAAGGTGACCCGAACCAATTCTGAAGATCTCTCCCCCAGTCCCATGTATTTAGCTGGTTCTGAGGGAATAATCAACATTGTGCATAACAAGATTAAACTATAGGCAAAGCACTATAAGGCCTCTATCAGCTGATGCCAACCTACAGGAGACGAAACACTGAGAGCTCAGCACCGCCTGTGCTCAGCGAGGGCAGTGAAACAGATAAACTCAAAGTTATGGGCATATAGGAAAACATTTCCTCAACAGCGTCTAATACAAAGATTGCTACATGAAAAAAAAAAAAATAGTTCAGTAAAACAGCTTTGAATGGGATCCTTCTCATCGTGCCTTTATATGAACCTGTTTGTCTCACTTCTTGTGCGCATATGGGTGAAAATAGACAGAATGGTGTGTTCATATTTCAAGTTATGAAGATTATTTATCTTGCCGAGACACAACCAAGAATGAAAAGATGATGCAAAGAGACTGAGAGAACTTTCTTATTTCCACGAATAATAATACAAACCGGGAAATTTGCAACTGGGTCAATTTGATTTATACAGGTAGGTATATTTATATTGATTTATGTAGTCCTGGGCTTGCACTGTACTGTGAGTCTCCCTTTCTGCTTAACTTACAAAATAATGTCCACATTATTCTTTTCTCATGTCAGAAGGTATGTTCTTGGATTTGGTTACTGACACAGTTTATAAGCAGCTAATAAGTAATTGTGTTCGAAATAAGTCAATACTGTTGCCTGAGATCCACACACACACACAGACACACAGACACAGACACAGACACACACACAGACACACACACACTGGATCGATACGAAGAATACATGTGGAGGATCACACAGGGTGTCGGCAATATTTGGATATTTCCGTGGAAACATCACAAATGGCCATTTTGTTGCCATAGTGACTGTAACGATATTGTGTGCTGCGAGTTTGGGTCACTGCTTCAGAAACTAGATTTCACTCCACATCCTTCATTGGCTTTTCCCTCTAACTCGGTTTTTAATTTGAGACCTTTACAATGATCACATTTTTACATTTTATTGACATCACTACATAACCCTCGCGCTTCTATTTGCTAGCGCTCCAACCCATTGTAGTGTGTGATAGGCTGAGGGGCGGGACATCTCTTAGCGGTTTACCAATCACAACAGAGCCGGCCAGCTAACCAATCAGAGCAGACTGGGCTCTGGTTTCAGACAGAGGGTGAAAAGAGGTGCTGCAGCACAACAAATAAGGAACTTTTTGGACATTAAAGCATGGAGACATGTCACAGAGACACAAAATACAAATATGAACATGATAATGAGTAGAATAGGACCCCTTTAAAGAGTCCCATCTTTCCTCAGCCTGCGTCGCTGACTTCAGAGTGTGATTTTATGCACAGTCCTGAGAGAGAACAGGCGTGAACCTGCTGCACCTGTTCACTTTCCTTCCAACAACAATAATTTGTTGATTATAACCAGAACGAGGCGATGCTTATTTAATTACAGCGCTTATATAAACGTCTCAACAAGGTTTGTTTTGTGCATCAAGGTCATTTTGAAAGGATTTTACAGAGCTGGGTTACTCATCAAGCTCAGATCACAGATAAATGTTTTAGGTGTCCATAGTTCATACAAATAATAGCAATGCTGCAGGGTGTATTGAGGTTTATACTATACAGTATGGTTGTGATATTATCTTTGTTAGGAAATAAATTGTGAAACACTGCTTAACCATTTTTTTTTCTCGCAGACAGGAAATGCATGCTCGGCTTCGTCAGGACTGCAATGAATGTGAATGGGAGAGAAGTGTGTTGTTTCTGTTAAACCTCTAAGTGCTTTTTGGAGCAGCATAACGTTTCGAAAGAAAGCATTGATATATTTTCACCACTTAAGTTCGTACAGCAAACTTTAGCGGTGATTTTATAGAAAGTTTAATTGAAAAAACTTTATTTAGTACTTACCATGGGAACTAATGGAGACATTTTATTTGTCTGGTTCAATACAAGTTTCCTTTAAAGCATAGCTCCATTTATATCAAAGAGAATATTATTATCATTTATCATTGTACGCTTGCCTTTTAGGGATATGTTAGCGTTTTCAGCAGACCTGCTGTGCATCCACTAAAATACTCTGTAGATGAGCAACTAAGTGCACACATTGAACACTGTCTCCTGTAATTATTACAAAATCAAATTGCTCTTCCCAGGAAACCTCACAGGAAATCATTAAGAAATGATCTTAAAGGCTAGCAACCAGATTAGCCCAAATTTGATATTAGAGTCCATCTATCATCTCTAATTGTCTCATTGGAGCCTAATGGATAAATTAAACAACAGGTCCTTGTCTAGTCTTCCAGTTTGTGATGTCTTCCTTGCAGACATGTTACATAAGACACATTTTAACTCTGCTTTCTGAGCATATCATTGGATTCACTTTGCTCCGACAGACTGACGGTTTGATTTCCCTGCATCCTTTTGTGTTTCTCCACCTTTATTTATCCCTCTTTCTTTTCATTATCCCACCTTCCTGCTGTCTTTGGCAAAGGCCCCAGTCACTTTGGCACAGTCCCTGCTGCAAGGCTTCCTTCGCCCCAACCATCTATCACCGTCATTGGCTCCCATTTTCTGCATAGTGAGAGGGCTGCTCCGGAAAGACCCACCGGAATTCCACACAGGGATATGCAGGCCCACACACACACACACTCACTCGCGCACGCACGCACGCACGCACGCACGCACGCACGCACGCACACACACACACACACACACACACACAAATACACACACACATCCTCGAAACAAAACCCAGCCTGATATATCATTTCTTACCTTTTCATTATTAATCTCTATCTGTCCATCTATCCTTTTGGCATAGGTCTCCCGGGCAGATATCAGCCTGATAAATAATTGACTGCTGTTAAAAGAGACCACCTGAGGGGGCAGAGGAGGGAGAGAAGGACCTTTAGTGGAGAAATTAAATCTGGATATGGGAGAGAGGGAACGGAGCGTAGCCTAAACACAGAGCCGAGCGCAGTGAGAGACAAACGGCCTGTGATCATGTTTAATTAATGACAGCGGGACCAGCCTATTAAACAAGGACACCGGCTGAAAAACGAGGAGGGAAACATGGATGACAGCCAGGAGGTCAGAGTAGGGCACAGTGTGTCGAAAATAGGGGAAATAAAGAGGTTTGTAAAGGAGAAACAGAAAGGATGTGGGGGCAAGAGAGAGAAAAGAGAGGCATCAGGTTCCAACTGGGCTGCTGTTTCTATAAATAGACTTCATTGCACATTGGGGAATGGAAACCAGCCAATTAGAATAAAGCTGTACCAGTGACAGTAAAGCCTCACTCAGTCACACATGCACTCAGAAACTTGCTGTTGCCACTTACCTGCATCAGGTTCGGGATATGTGGGTGTTGTTAAATCACCCAGACTGATAATGGAGACCCTCGCCGATGTTTGTTTGTTTGTTCGGTCGGCCAGAGGTGGAAACTCTCATCTGGGCCTGACGGGCTGTGATGCTTTTGGGGAATTGTGTGTGCTAGATGTGATGTGAATCAGCAGTGTTGCAGCAGTTAAGTAACAAAAGGGTTTTGTGGGTTACCGCTGTTGCAGAGAAGGGACAGCGTTCTTTAATAAGCAAGCAAAAACTTGGCATTGGATAAAAGTTGCAGAATTTCTCATTTTTCTGCCAATAGGTCCAGACATGCTTCATGCCTCAAGATAAACAGATTTGATTCGATATCTGTACCTCCTGCTAAAATCCGACATCTGCCCATGGAACCTTTTTATTGACATTTACAAAGAGGTTGAAGTCAATGTAGAACTTTTAATTTTTGTTTATAATCTCTCCATAGCCGTTACTAGACGTGAACAAAATGGAGCTTATGTGAAGTTAAAAGCTGCCTGGGCTACATAAAATATCACTATACATAAAAAGAAAAAAACGTTATTTTAGTTTGGCATGCTTTTCTCCATTTTATGTAATTTGTGTCTTTCTTTTGTTGCAATAAAAATAAAAACCGTCTTTAATAAGTGGTTCTCCTGGGATGAAAGCTAACAGCTTAAGCAAAGTTGGAAATTCAGAAGCAGTAAAACCTAAATGACGATCTAAATGCTTGAATACATAAATAAAACCTACTCCCAGATGGCACTGCAGATTGGGGAACATATAATTTAAAGTGGACAGCGTTGTTCTCCGCTCAGATGACTGATGATGATGACGACGACGTGTTGTAATTGTGTCTCACATACAAACAGCCTGCAGATCCCACACAGTAAAGCATAATAGGGCCCCTTTAATGCGACGGTGGTGAAGAAAACCACTCCCATGATCCTGATACTTCACCGCGCCACCAAACTCATTTTAATGCAATGGTTGAGAAATCCCTAGCGGCATAAAACGACATCATTCATTTTGCATTTAACATGCTGTATCGTACTTATTTAATATGTGTGAAGACCAACACTTAGTTCTGCTCGGCTTCATTCATGTACATTTTTGACGGTTGCACCATGTGTGCTGTAAATGTAAAGTATTTGTCCTTGACAATAAGTGGACCACCTGTACAGACATCGACAGACACCCCGTTATGAGTCAGAGTGCCTGTGTTATTTTAAATGATCTACTTCTACTCTGTTATTTGCCTCCTATCAATTTCCTTTTCCCTTCTTTTCTCTG